TCGACGCTCACCCGGACACCGCGCCTCCGAAGACATATGGCATGCACGAATGGGACATCCAAGCAACACAGTGTTAAATAACACGATAAGAGCAGGAGTCCTAGACAAGGACTCATTATTACTACCCGACGGCAGAGAACTCCAACGGGCACGAGGGACTTATCTTACCTGCCCCGAAGCCGACTTACCACATTGACCGTTCACTCCTCATCACAACCCGAGCGCACCCGCGTACACACCACTCGAGAAGGTGTACAGCGATATTCTCTTCAATCGAGAACCAGGACAAGTTACCTACAACTACACGATTACCTTCATCGACGCCGCCACTCGATACGTCTGGCATCTTAATCTACCCAGCCGCGACATGGCACTCGCAGCGTTCGCCGCCTGGCTACCAGTAGCAGATGAGAGTCAGAAGCATAGCTGAAAAGCTTCCAGTGAGACGGAGGAGGAGAATACACCTTTCAGCGATTCAAGCAGTACCTGGTGGAAAGAGGAATCAAGCAACTCCTCTCCCTTCCCTACGCCCATCAGCAGCAAGGTGTCGCAGAACGAATGAACAGGACTCTGCAGAACAGCATGCGCAAACTGTTACGTGGCATGCGGCTACCCAGCCACCAGTGGCCTGCAGCAATGGACCATGTTGTCATGCTGCACAACTTGATGTCGTCGTCCTCACTTCCGAACAACGCATCACCGCATCTGCTGTGGACAGGGAAACAGGGCAGCACAAAAATGTTAAGAGTTTTCGGATGCATGGTACAGTACCAACCCCCAGAGGCACGAGCGGGAAGATTTTCACAACGCGCACAGTGGGGACTACACCTCGGCATCGAAAAGAATTACAACGCGTGGAAAATCTTCGACGTCCACTCCAAGGAAACAGTAGCAGCACGTGATGTGATCTTCTACGAACGACTCACGCTTCAGACGTACCTCGCCAGCTTGCACGAAAATCAGGACCCCACAGGTGGCTTTCGTGGTGACCGAGCCTTCGCCTCAGCCGCGGACGAAGCAGACTGGGACGAGCAGAACATCGACAACGCATCAGAAGAAGCCAGACCCCTCCCGTTCTGCTCCGTCAACGTCCCCATGGACGAAGAAAATCCTCGCGAAAGCGCCAACGCCGAAGTCTTCTACCACTTCGCCGACAATGGTTACGTAACACCTGCGACAGTCAACACCAACAAAGCAGAAAGAATAGGACCGAATTTCATAACCGACCCAGAAACGGGAGATGAAGCAGCTTATCCCGATGACACAACACTCCCCCGCTACTCACAGACTGGACTGCAGATTCTCGGCCTCGTCACCGCAGTCCACGGCCATCCTCTTCCTGAAGAGCCTGCGACGGTTCAGCAGGCTATGGGGGGGGAACACAGGGAGAAATGGCGTGAAGCCATGGACAGAGAATTAAAGACCTTGGAGGAACGGAACACCTGGAAAGTCGTTCCAGTTAGCGTGGCAAGGAACAAGACCATCCTCACAGGGAAATGGGTCTTCCGCATCAAAACGAAGGCAGACAGCACAATCGAGAAGTTCAAAGCACGCTGGGTCGTGCGAGGATTCGATCAGGAACATGGACGGGACTTCACCGAGACATTCGCCCCGGTTAGCCGACACACCTCACTCCGAATTCTCCTCGCGATTGCCGCCATGAAGAAAAGGAAACTACGGCAAATCGACGTTGCTAACGCCTTCCTCTACGCACCCGTCGACGCCGAAATCTTCGTTGAGCTCCCACATGGTACCCACGGGGAACCTAATCAGGTTTGCCAGCTACTGAAATCGCTCTATGGAATCAAACAGGCCCCACGGCTGTGGCAACAGCACCTACACACCCGCCTCACCCGCATCGGATTCCTTCAACTGCCTCACGACCAAGGCATGTACCGACTCACCAAAGACGCCAACTACATTCTGCTTATCGTCTACGTCGACGATTTACTCTACATCGGTTCTACCGACGACATAACTACCTGGTTCGAAAGGGAGCTGAAGAGGGACCTCACACTCACGGTCTCCACTACCGTCACTCAGTATCTCGGACTCAACATCCGCGAAGAAGAAAACGCGATCCACCTCAGCGCCGAAAAGTATGCCGACACCATCGCCAAACGCTTCGCGCTCACACCCGCTACTATCTCCACGCCATACCGCTACACGGCAGGGAACGGCAAAGGAAGCTCCGCCTTACTCAAAACCGCCGGAATACGCGACTACCAGCGAAAACTGGGCTGCCTCCTCTTCGCAGCCGTCACCTGCCGGCCAGACCTGTCCTACTCTGCAAGTCAACTTGCTACCTATCTCAAGAGGCCCGAAACAGAACACCTAGCGGAACTCGACCGCGCTCTTCACTATTTCGTGAGCACCGCAACGATCGGCCTGACGTACTACAAAAACACAACTACGCCGACGAAACTAATCGGCTACGTCGATGCCGATCACGCCGGCGTCTCAGATAACAGGCGCTCCCGCACTGGCTACATCTACCGCCTCGAACCTATCGGACCTATCTCCTGGCAATCGAGCAAGCAGGAACTAATTGCTCTCTCTTCAGCTGAAGCAGAATATATCGCCCTCTGCTCAGCCACCAAGGAAGGACTCTACCTTCGCGAGCTGCTGGAAGAAGCGAAGTTAGTCGAGTTACCCAACTTCACTTTGTTCTGCGACAACCAATCTGCAATTTGCATCGCCAACAAGAGCGGATTCGCGAACAGAACGAAGCATATCGCCCTGCGATACTTCTTCGTGAAGGACGAGATCGAGAAAGGGAAACTTAAACTATCCTACTATCCCACGTCCGAGATGGCAGCTGACTACTTGACCAAGAAGCTCGGAAAACAGAAGTTCGAGTACTGCATGCTGCTGACTGGACAAAGCCACGTCACCATCAGCGACACTCCAGAAGCGAAGGGGAGTGTTGGGAACAAATTGTTTAAGCGCCTCTGTCGTGTCAGAACTCAAGACACAAGCGAAGCATCTCAAATCGAAGCATCGCGAGTCAACCCTCGGAAGTTAACGTAACCGCTGGAGGTTACGAGAAAGTCAAAGGTCAGCGACCTTTGACCTGACGCAGCGCGACAGCAAGGACACACAACTGACTCGACATTGAGCAGTTGCCCGAGTCGCACTATATCGAACCGCAACAGTAAAGTAGTCATAATGTCTCTTCATATTCTTTGTACTCATATATTCATTCCTGTATCTCTTTGCTTTAATCAACTTACTTTGCCCTCACATACTAGCGCAAGGTGGTTCAAGGACTTTATTCAACGCTTCCGCTATTACATCACTTACTCAGACTTAAACTCTACAAAGATCCTAGGGCTTTTTGTTTTAGCCCAACAAACGGGACCGTCCGAATCAAATTTTTGCAACTTCGGACTGTTCGAAGGCTAATGTGACACTTTTTTGGGGCTGTTGATTTTTGCGACTACTGTAGCCTCGTTAGAGGCCTTGTATCTTCGTAATTTATCTAGCGACATTTTCGGTATTAGCTTCGTTGGCGAATCGTTATGATTTGCTGTACATTAAAATTCGCCCACCAATACCTAGCCAGAAATGGCGGACCGTCCGTTTGGGTTTCGGACAGTCCACGGTTCACAAGGCGGAGTGTTGGAAATGTGAAAAAGTGTCAAGACAGTCCGTTAGGTTGGCGACGTCGCCAACACCTCCGCGAAGACCTAAACGATAATCAACGAAGCAAGTTACATTTCGCCACGACGGACCGTCCGCAGTTCGAACCGTCGGGTGCAAAATGGTTACGCGCCCTAAGGAAAAGGATTTTTTCCTTACATTAACTCGTTACTGAATGAACTAAGTAGGAAGCCGAGTGAGTGTTGGACCAAACCAGACTTATGCACATTTTTTTTTTCCAAGTGGAAACACGCTCAGCAGACAACCAGAATTCATTGGAGGCATCTGAGTGCTGAATCTTATGTGAACACAATTACTTGATGTAAAAATCCATTTTTTTCTAGATTCAATAAGGGCCAGCCAGTGGCCATTGTTTAGCCTTTACTGTACACTCGAACAGACAAGGCCATGCCCCATACAAAGAATGCAACCATTACCAGCATTATCCAAAGGCTTCCCCGCGCTCTTGCCACAGCAGCACCAAGCCGCTCCACTGATTTCCAGATTTATTCAACAGCCAGCAGGAGTCCTCTCCTCCTTGGGTTTTGAGCCGTATCAAAACCCCAACGTTACGCAACTCTATTCAACGGGCAACAGCGCTACTCGTGCTCTCCTTAGCTCTCTTGTACTCCTTCCTTTCCTCCCCCCACTCCTTCCCCTCCTCTTCTGATCTTCGCTTGCAGCTACCATCACCCTGACTGCCCCCTGGATCAGTCGCACCGTCTATTTTCTCTCCCACCACACCCTCCCTGTTGTCACTCTTGTTAGTATCATCAGCATCAAGGTCAGTGTCGCCAACGTCAGCAGCAGGGGCGGGAGCAGCATGTGCATCAGCCGCTGAATCAGCAGCAGGAGCAGCAGCAGCAGCAGGAGGAGGAGGAGGAGGAGGAGGAGGAGGAGGAGGAGTAGAGAAATCATCAGCGGTAATAGAGCTCTTGCTTTCAGACGCACCTCCCCCTGTTCCATCAGCATCAGCATCAGCAGAGGAAGGATGGCTCATCGTGCTGCTACCGCCCTTCAATTCACCACCATCCTTCAGCACCTCTCCCTTTCTATCTTGTCCCGCACCAGCTGCCGCACGTGCTGCTGTTCCTGCTGATTCTACAGTCTCTGCTCGTGCTGTTACAGCAGCAGCTGCTGCTTCTTCTCCTGCTGCCGCTTCTTCTGCTGTTTCTGCGGCTCCTCCTGCCCTCGCTGTTGCTGCTGTCCCCCCTGGTTCTGACGTTTCTGTTGCTGATGTCAGAGGAGGGGAAGGAGAGGAGGCAGGAGAGCCACCTCTAGGCGACGCGGGTGGGGATGGGGATTCTAATAGGGACGGGGATGCTGAAGGGGATGCTGAACGGGATGGCGATTCCGGTCTAGGCGATCGCGAAGGGGATGATCTGGGGGATTGAGACGGCGACGTTTTCGGTGATGAAAAGGCTTTGGGCGAGGAGGAAGGAGACGACTTGGGAGAGGAGGAAGAGGGGGATGAGGGGGAAGAGGGGGAAGGAAAGGGTTTCGTGGATGACTCTTGCTCCATAGCCTTGCTGCTGCACCGATTTGGTCCTCCGTTGTTGCCCTTCCCTCCTGCCTTCTCACTCATCCTCTCTCCCCTCTTCCCCTCCTCCGTATCCCTCTCTTCCCTGTCTTCCTCGTTCCTCTCCTCCCGCCTCCTTCCGCCCTCCTCGCATTGCTGCCCTGGGCTAGACCTCTCTTCCCCATCACCCCTACTTTTATCTCTCCCTTTGTCATTCCCCCCTCCTGATCCTCCTCCACCCCCTCCCCCTACGCCCCCCCCACCGCCCCCTCCTCCTTTTACCAGGGCAGATCGGGCCAACATTGCCCCCAGCTTTCCCCCAACAACAATCTTCCCCCCAGATATTCTCCTGAATCCTGCCCCACCATCAGAAGATTTTCGCTTCTTCTGCACACCTTGGAATGACCCATCCTTCCCGCCCGAACCTGCTCCTCCTGTTCCGCTCCGCTTCGGGCCGTTCCGAGCCTCTCCCCGAGCCTCTCCCCGAGCCTCTTCCCGAGCCTCGAAGCCTCTTCCCGAGGCTGGGGAGCCAGAGGAGGGCCGGGGGCTAGGAGGGAAAGGGGAGCAGGAAGAGGGGCGGTCTTCGTCATCCTCATCCTCATAGTCCACGAGCCCATGAAGAGGCTTCCTGGAAGGTGCCATGATGGGGATTCAGAGAGAAAGTAACAAAGCAGTTAGCAAAGGGAAAACAAACGGAAGAGATGGAGAGAGCATGAGAAGGTGAGAGAAAAGGAGACAAGGATAAGCATAAAAAAGAAGAAGGATAGGGATATGATTTGACACCAGGGTAGGAGGGAACTAGAGTGGGCGGAAGACAGGGAACAGGAGGGGTGGGTGTAGAGCACAAGCGGCGAGTCAACAAAACCCCACCTGGAATTTTCTGGTGGAAGGAAACAGCAGCCCAACGAATCTCACCTGGAAGGCTCTGGTGGAATGATGCCGTTGGCAAGGGAGCGAGGTGGAGAGGGCGAGCGGGATTTGTGGCGTGGAAGGGGGGGTGTGCCTGACGGGTCGAGCACTGGTAGGCTGTCATCGTGCTCCTCCTCCTGTGCTGCTGGCTCGTCCTCGTCACTGAGTGATTCGATACAAGCACGGGAAATCATGTGAGCACTGGATGCCCTGAGAGAAAAGCATGTGATCTTCATTCTACCTTTTTATTATTTGGTGGGGAAGAAGGGGTGTGGGTGGGGGTCAGGCAAAGCAGGGCGGGGGTTTACAATTAGACAAAACCACACTGACAGAAGCAACAGTGAGGGAAGGACAAGGAAACAAGAGAGTCAGACGGCCAACACCATTGGAACACACCTGTCGCCTCCGCTTTCGAAGTAATCCTCCTCCTCTCTCTCAAGCTCCCTCTCCTCCCTCACTCTCCTCTTCTCCACCCTCACTCGCCCTCCCCGTTCCATCCCCCCCTCCCCACTCCTCCCCCCTTCTCCCCCTGCCGCCCCCCCTCCACCACTCTCATGTCGCCACCTGTCGCCGCTTGATTGCACACTGATGGCTGTGGCTCGCGGCAAGTGGGAGGGCGGAGGGGCAGCAGAGGGCTCTTCTGCTGGCCGCATTGACTCAAGGTTCTGTTGTGATAGAAAGGGAGGAGGAAGGGGAGGAGCAGGGGAAAAACAGTGAGGCATGGCAAGAGAAGCCGAGGTTGAAAGCAAGTGGGAGAGGGGAAATGCAGCAGAAGGCTCTTCTGCTGGCCGCAGTGACTCGAGGTTCTGTTGTGAAAGGGGAGAGGGGGGAGTGTGAGTCGGAGAGGAGAGCAGGAAAATGCAACTCTCAAACTGAGTGGGAGGGCGGAGGGGCAGCAGAAGGCTCTTCTGCCGGCCGCATCGACTCAAGGTTCTGTTGGGAAAGGGGAAGGACGAGGAAGGAAGGGGGAGGAGAGGAGAGGGGACGTGGGGGGGTGTGAAGAAATGTGGAGCAGAAGGCTCTTCTGCTGTCCGCATTGACTCGAGGGTCTGTTGGGAAGGGGAAGGACGAGGCAGGAAGGGGGAGGAGGGGAGAGGGGACGAGGGGGGGTGTGAAGAAATGGGGAGCAGAAGGCTCTTCTGCTGGGCGCATCGACTCAAGGTTCTGCTGTGAAGGAAAAGGGAGGAAGGAGGAAAGGGGCGGGAGAAAAGCACTAAGGGATAGGGAGAGACGTCAAGGTTGGAAAACACGGGAGGGCGGGGGGGCAGCAGAAGGCTTTTCTGCTGGCCGTATGGACTCGAGGTTCTGGACCGGGATGGAGTGAAGGGGAGTGTGAGAGGGAGAGGCGAGCAGGTGAAGGCGCGTCAAATTGAGTGGGAGGGCGGAGGGGCAGCAAAAGGCTCTTCTGCTGGCCGCAGTGACTCGAGGTTCTGGACCAGGAGGGAGTGGGGGTGAGAGATGGGGAAGACGGAGGAGTGGGGGGAGATGGGAAGAGGGGGTGATAGAAAGTATGACCAACTGAGTCTAACGAGTCAACAGAGCAAAATGAGAAAAAAACGAGCTAGAATCTCTCGAAGCATTATGTTCGCATTCTGTCCCACGTGCCCTCCATCCACTCCCATGCGCCCATTCCTCCCCTCCCATGCGCCCATTCCTCCCCTCCCATGCGCCCATTCCTCCCCTCCCATGCGCCCATTCCTCCCCTCCCATGCGCCCATTCCTCCCCTCCCATGCGCCCATTCCTCCCCTCCCATGCGCCCATTCCTCCCCTCCCATGCGCCCATTCCTCCCCCCCCATGCGCCCATTCCTCCCCTCCCATGCGCCCATTCCTCCCCTCCCATGCGCCCATTCCTCCCCTCCCATGCGCCCATTCCTCCCCCCCCATGCGCCCATTCCTCCCCCCCCATGCGCCCATTCCTCCCCCCCCATGCGCCCATTCCTCCCCCCCCATGCGCCCATTCCTCCCCTCCCATGCGCCATCCCTCCCCTCCCATGCGCCCATCCCTCCCCTCCCATGCGCCCATTCCTCCCCTCCCATGCGCCCATTCCTCCCCTCCCATGCGCCCATTCCTCCCCTCCCATGCGCCCATTCCTCCCCTCCCATGCGCCCATTCCTCCCCTCCCATGCGCCCATTCCTCCCGCCCCATGCGCCCATTCCTCCCCCCCCATGCGCCCATTCCTCCCCCCCCATGCGCCCATTCCTCCCCCCCCATGCGCCCATTCCTCCCCCCCCATGCGCCCATTCCTCCCCTCCCATGCGCCCATTCCTCCCCTCCCATGCGCCCATTCCTCCCCTCCCATGCGCCCATTCCCCCCTCACCTGTTCGTATTTGAGGCGCAGCAGCTTGAAAGAGTCAACGTAGTCAACCGAGTCAAACCAGGAGCCGTATGTCTCCACTAGATGGGTCACCAGCGACTTGATGTTCTCCTGCTCACATGCATGCATGGATGCACAATCACATGTATGAGGACAATCACAAGTACATGAACAGTGACCACACAGCCACTACCCAAGGTCCAGCACGGCCGAGTTGAGGAGGCTGTGGCTGATTGCTGTTGGCAATGCCGACACACATAACGTCCCTCACACCTTGCCATTGCACCAGCACCAACAGCAGTAGCACCAACCAGCACACCTTGCGAATGAACCCGACCAAATCAAGCACAGCAGAGTGGAGGTTGTAGCGGCTGAAAGTTGCAATGCTGACACAGCCGCAGCACAGCCGCTACACACATAACACTCCCAGCACCTTGTCTTGAGCCAACACCAATGCACCTTGTGGATGAATTCAACAAGGTCCAGCACGGAGGATTTGAGGAGGTTGTAGCGGCTGCCATTGGTATTCACAATCCACGCACCCACACCACACGCCCACCGCCCCACACACAAAGCCATTGCCCACTCACTCACCTTGCATATGAACTGGATGCTGTCTAAAACGGCAGAGTTGAGGAGGTTGTGCTGGCTGCTGTTGGTATTTACAGCCCACAACCCACACCACACGCCACCGCCCCACACACAAAGCCAGTGCCCACTCACTCACCTTGCGGATGAATTCGACTAAATCCAGCACAGCGGAGTTGAGGAGGTTGTAGCGGCTGCCGTTGGCTCTGAAGGCTGCGATCACGGGCTCAAACAGACGGTTCTTGACCAGGTAGCGCAGGTAAAAGTCGTCCTGGTGGGAGGTGGGAGGGGGCATGGCATGGCATGGCATGGCATGGGGAAAACGGTTTTCATCTGACTGGCATCACGGGCTCAAACAGGCGGTTCCTCACCAGGTAGTGCAAAGAGAAGTCGTCTTGGAAGTTGGGAAAAGTGAGGGAAAAGTTTGTGGTTTCGACTGGGTCCGGCATTGACCGACATTGACCGGCAATGACCGACATTGACTGGCATTGACCGGCATTGACCGGCATTGACCGGCATTGACCGGCATTGACCAGCATTGTTCCTTGTTACTTGGTAGGTGCTCGATGCAAGTACTGGTCTACCTTGAGGCTATACGTGGTCAACGATCCGAGCCGAGTTTTACTCGGCTCGTTCCCAGGCACACTCGTACGAGCTTTGTTCCGAGCCGAGTTTTGCTCGTACGAGCTTTTCTTGGGCAAATGCAAGCTCGTGACTCGGCCAAAAAGCACGAGCTTTTCAAAAGCTCGTCCGAGCTTAAAGGAAAGCTCGGACGAGCCGAGGGAAGCTCGGCTCGTTGCCATACACAGAGCTGCATAACCCAACCTATGCCCCACCTTGTCCCTCCATCACTGCTGTGCAGGTGTACAAGGGAGGTACTAGCCTAGACGTGTCATGTACTTGCCTATGTTTGTAAAACTGGTGCCTAATAAAGATACCTAGCAAGCAGTCATCACACAAATATTACCATATCCAGACCAGGTCTTTCGCCCTGGAGAGCGTCAGTATTGGGTGGGGGATCGCAGAACCAGCCCAATGAGGGCAACAAGGTAGAACCACACCCAAACCCAAAAGCTCGGCGAGTTTCACAAAAAACTCGTCAGTGCAATGAGTGCTCGGCGAGTTTTGAAACCTCGTCGAGAAAAACTCGCCTCGGCTCGGACGAGTTATTTTCCCGGAAAATGACACTCGTCACTCGCCCTCAAACGAGTGCCTCGTACGAGCCGAGGCGAAAAACTCGGCTCGTTGACCATGTATACTTGAGGCTGACACAGGAGCGCAGGAATCACACAGCAGCCATTACCAGGTACCCCTCCCTGCGCCCCACCAGCTAGCTCAAGAGCAGGCTTGGGTTCAACGAGGGCAGCATTCATACCTTGAGGCTGATGCAGGAATGCAGGAATCGCACAGCCACCACCACCAGGTACCTCTCCCTGCGCCTCACAAGCTAGCTCAGGCAGAAAGTAGATACCCCCGCGGGTGGCATAGTACTATACCTTGAGGCTGATGCAGGAGCGCAGGAAGCGCACAGCCGCCACCACCAGGTACCTCTCCTTCCGCCGCACCAGCCGCAGCACCTTCTCCACCACGTTGTTGCGCAACACGTAGTACCTTGAATAGGAAGAGGGGGGAAGAATCGGGAGGGGAAGGAAGAGGCAGAAAAGAAAGCGGCAGGTTGTATCTGATTCATCCAGCAATGGGCCACCACGAGGTACCTCTCCTTCCGCCTCACCAGCCGCAGCACCTTCTCCACCACGTTGTTGCGCAGCACGTAGTACCTGAGGGAGCGGGGAAGAAGGGGGGAAATGGGGAAAGAGGGGAGAGGTGAGTGGCTTCAAACTTACGCAAACCAGCCCCGCACCTTCTCCGCCACGTTGTTGCGCAACACGTAGTACCTTGAATAGGAAGAGGGGGGAAGAAGGGAAAGGGGGAAAGAGGGGAGAGGTGAGTGTTTTCAAACTTTCAGCACCAGCCGCAGCACCTTCTCCACCACGATGTTGCGAAACACGTAGTACCTTGAGAGCGGGGGAGGTAAGAAGGGATCTGGGTTGAGCAGTTTGGTAAGGGGCATGATCTGGCACCCCTATAATGTGCAGCACCAAGGACCTGGGAAATTGGACAAGGGATGAGACGGAGGAGGCGAAGGTGGGGGTGGAGATGAGGGAATGCACAGAAGCACAGCCTGTTGTAAATGAGGCGGTGCAGTGGAGCATGAAGCACTTTTTTTTAGGCGCCTCAAAAAGGTGGGGATAAGGGAACGCACCGAAGCACAGCCTGTTGCAAATGAGGAGGTGGAGTGGAGCATGAATGAAGCACGGAGAATGGCACTGGAAACACAAAGCACAAAGCACACAGCACAAGGATATGAGTCACTCACTTCATTCGGAAGCTGTGGTGTAGCACACAGAAGCACAGCAGATCGCAGATACTCGCCAGCACCTCAGGAGCCGGCGACACAACTCCGCCTCCTAACCCCCCTCCTCCACTACCTCCTCCTCCCCCTCCCACTGCTGCAGCAGCTGCAGCAGCGGTGGTTATCCCCTTTACAAGCACATCCACGTACTCCTCATAAAACACGTCTAGAAACTTGTTCTTTTCGGCCGTGTCCATGGTGTCGGTGTCTAGCAGCTGCCGCAATATTTCTAAGAGCTGCACGTGAGACCCCCCCTCCCCCTGACTGCGCTCCACCATTCCCTTAACCTGCCCAGGGAAGGCGGGGGAAGGGGAAAGGGGAAGGGAGGGAGGACGGCACTGGAGGTTCAGTTGAGTGGTGGGAAAGGGAAAGAACAGATTGTACTTCTGACATGGAATTTTGAGAAGCATTTTAAAAAGATCTTGCGACGTACACGGCAGGAGAAGAGCTTGCGACGTACAAGGCAGGAGAAGAGCTTGCGACGTACAAGGCAGGAGAAGAGCTTGCGACGTACAAGGCAGGAGAAGAGCTTGCGACGTACAAGGCAGGAGAAGAGCTTGCGACGTACAAGGCAGGAGAAGAGCTTGCGACGTACAAGGCAGGAGAAGAGCTTGCGACGTACAAGACAGGAGAAAAGCTTGCGACGTACAAGGCAGCAGAAGAGCTTGCGACGTACAAGGCAGGAGAAGAGCTTGCGACGTACAAGGCAGGAGAAGAGCTTGCGACGTACAAGGCAGGAGAAGAGCTTGCGACGTACAAGGCAGGAGAAGAGCTTGCGACGTACAAGGCAGGAGAAGAGCTTGCGACGTACAAGGCAGGAGAAGAGCTTGCGACGTACAAGGCAGGAGAAGAGCTTGCGACGTACAAGGCAGGAGAAGAGTGTGTGGCCGGGTTGCTCCACGAGAAAGGTGCGCAGGGGGGCAGGGTCGGGACTGAGAGCTGACATGAGCATGTCGGTGCTGCAGTGGGGGAGACAGGTGGAGGGACAAGGGGCAAGAAGTGAAGGTCGAGGCATGGGGCAGTGAGTTCAGGAAGGTGCGCAGGGAGGCAGGGTCAGGACTGAGAGCTGACATGAGCATGTCGGTGCTGCAGGGGCGGAGACAGGTGGAGGGACAAGGGGCAAGAAGAGAAGGTCGAGGCATGGGGCAGTGAGTTGAGGAAGGTGCGCAGGGAGGCAGGGTCAGGACTGAGAGCTGACATGAGCATGTCGGTTCTGCAGTGGGAGGGGAGGGGGGGGGAGGGGGGGGGGTGTGGAAACAGGTTGACGGATGGGAAAGACAGCGGTGATTCGTGGTAAGACAGGGTAAGAGGGCGTCGGGACTGAGAGCTGACATGAGGATGTTGGTGCTGTGATGGGAAGAGAGGTGGGGAGGCAAGGGGTGAAGTGACGGGGAGTGTGGAAAGAGGGTGGTGGAAACGAAGGAAGCGACAGGAGAAAGGGTGAGATATGGGGAGAAAAGAGGAGGACAGCAGTGGATAGAAGAGAAAAGAGGAGGACAGCAGTGGATAGAAGAGAAAAGAGGAGGACAGCAGTGGATAGAAGAGAAAAGAGGAGGACAGCAGTGGATAGAAGAGAAAAGAGGAGGACAGCAGTGGATAGAAGAGAAAAGAGGAGGACAGCAGTGGATAGAAGAGAAAAGAGGAGGACAGCAGTGGATAGAAGAGAAAAGAGGAGGACAGCAGTGGATAGAAGAGAAAAGAGGAGGACAGCAGTGGATAGAAGAGAAAAGAGGAGGACAGCAGTGGATAGAAGAGAAAAGAGGAGGACAGCAGTGGATAGAAGAGAAATGATATGGTAATTGGAGAGGGAGAAGAACAACCCATTGGAAAGCGGTCAACGGCCGGTGAGCAAGAGGGAGAACGGGGCTGAAAGAGCGGAAAGTGGAAAGTGGTGTTTAGCATGGGAGTGCACGGGAGGTTGAAACACATACCCGCAAAGGCGTAGGGAGGCGTCAGTGTGTTGCAAGATCGTGGTGACGATTTCAAATAGGCCCAGACCAATCAGAGCACTGCACGTGGACAGAAGGAACAGAGAGCGTGGTTGAAAAAAGGATGGGTTGGACTATCAGAGAATTTCCTAGCTTTGTTCGTACGGATTCGATGTTTTTTGTAGCGCCTAGAAGACTGATTCTGTAGCGCCTAGAGAACTGATCCTGCGCCTAGAAGACTGATCCTAGAAGACTGATCCTAGAAGACTGATCCTAGAAGACTGATCCTAAACGTCAACCGGTAACGCAAAGATACGAAAACAAAGCTGGTGCGTCGAGTATAAACGGCTGGGAAAAGAAGGGAAAGAGTAAAGCCCACTACATCTGCAACGCTCAGAAGCGTCAGAAACCCAGACTGAAGGGTGGGCACGAAGATACCTAAAGGGGGTGAAGCGAAGGTACCTGAAGGACTGGTTTCTTTGTGTGATCTGCAGGTGCTTGTGCAGCGAGCAAAACTCCTGTAGGAATCGAACCTGATGCAGGGGAGAATGAAAGAGGTGAGCGGACAGAGGCAGAGAGAGAAGAGATGGAGATGCTCGGTTGAAGGAACCCTTGCAAGAGTCTCACAAGCTAATCAGATCAAATTTCACCGAGCATGTCCGTCCGATGTTGCAAGGTCCCTGGACGTTCGAGAAAAAGGGCGTCTGATACACGCTAAATAAACCATGTCTCCACAACTCACGTCATGTGTCTGTTGGTGACAGGTACAAATGTTGCTTAGACTCTTCCCGTCTCACTCACCAGGTCTCTAAAGGCGGGGGAGGAGGGGTCTTTGGATCGCAGCTGGGAGAAGAGGTCCGAGAGGAAGGGCTTGTCTCCCTGTAGAGTGGACACCACCTGTGGATGGTGGTGGGAGAGAGAGGGATGCGCAGGGGGGAACCATGAGATAGGGCTGCTGGGGCAGCTGCTTACTGCCCTGCTGGGAGAATAGGTCTGAGAGGAAAGGCTTGTCGCCCTGTAGAGTGGACACCACCTGAGGGGGATGGTGGGGGAGAGGGGAAGGGGATGGAGCCTTGAGACGGGCAATGAGGAGCGATGGCTCGGAACCTCTTTGGATCGCAGCTGGGGAGGAGGTCTGAGAGGAAGGGCTTGTCTCCCTGTAGAGTGGACACCACCTGTGGATGGTGGTGGGAGAGAGAGGGATGCGCAGGGGGGAACCATGAGATACGGCTGCTGGGGCAGCTGCTGAATGCCCTGCTGGGAGAATAGGTCTGAGAGGAAAGTCTTGTCGCCATGTAGAGTGGACACCACCTGAGGGGGACGGTGGGGGAGAGGGGAAGGGGATGGAGCCTTGAGACGGGCAATGAGGAACGACCTTGGAGAATGGGGCAATGAGGAACGATGGCTCGGAACCTCTTTGGATCGCAGCTGGGAGAAGAGGTCTGAGAGGAAAGGTTTGTCTCCCTGCAGCGTGGACACCACCTAAGGATGGTGGGGGAGAAAGAGGGAGGTGGAGAGGAGAAATGATGAGATAGCGCTGCTGCTGTCCATGACACCACCTGAGAATGGTGGGGAAAAGGGTCGGAGGGGGGAAGAATGGAAGACTGCAAATGAAAACTCTAGGAATCTGGAACTGAACCTCTAGCACCACATGACAACATTTGATTTGAGAGTATCAACAATAAGAATTAACATCTTAAGTGCAACCCCTGATACTTCAGCTGTAGCTTCTGGGACCTGGGGTCCACAGCAGACTGCTATGCTTGTGTCACTTCGGAGAATTCTCAAAAGGGTGCACAGCAGACTGCTATGCTTGTGTCACTTTGGAGAATTCTCAAAAGGGTGCACAGCAGACTGCTATGCTTGTGTCACTTTGGAGAATTCTCAAAAGGGTGCACAGCAGACTGCTATGCTTGTGTCACTTTGGAGAATTCTCAAAAAGGTGCGCAGCAGACTGCTATGCTTGTGTCACTTTGGAGAATTCTCAAAAGGGTGCGCAGCAGACTGCTATGCTTGACCTCTGCTGTCCCATTCCCACGCACCTCCACATTATTGAACAGAATGAGGGAGTTGAAGGTCCCGTATGTTTGGTCGTCCAAAACCCGCGGTAAAATCACATCCTGCCCGAGAAAGGAGGCAAACAAACAAACAGGGGAGAGACGGTGGGGGGAGTGGGGAAGGGTGGGCACAAAAAATCAGGTTCCACAAGGGGGGCACTGGACTTGGACTGTATGTGAACTTGGCACGGCGTCTCTCTCGCGCCGTACAGAAAAATGTGGCAGACTGAAAATAACTTGAAGCCCCAACAGACGCACCTTAAAGCCCCAATAAGCACGCACCTTGATGTACCCCAGGCGATATGTCTGATGAATCTTAGAGCGCAGGATGGGGACTTGTCCTGGATGGGCACGGCCTCTCTCTCTTACAGTACATGGGAATTTGGTAGCAGCAGCAAGCACCTTAAAGCCGCAAAGCACGCACCTTGATGTACCCTAGGCGGTACGTCTGGGGTACATCAAGGAGCGCCCATCTAGACCCCAGCCCTGGATGGGCCGTACCGTGCCCATCCAGGCCGTACCGTGCTTCAAGGAGCACCTTAAAGCCCCAATAAGCACGCACCTTGATATAACCTAAGCGGTATGTCTGGTGGATCTTGGAGCGCGGGCTGGGGTCCTGGATGGGCACGGTACGGCCTCCTTCTCTCACACAACTCTGCTTAAACCTCCTTAAAAACTACCAGACCAGAAACGACCTGCAGCCACTGAAATGGTGAGCACACACCTTGATATAACCTAAGCGGTATGTCTGGTGGATCTTAGAGCGCAGGCTGGGGTCCTGGATGGGCACGGCCTCGCGATACTCCACTTGCTCTAGCAAAAACTTGCGGTGCTGCTGGCGCGATGGCAGGTCGGGGTCATCTGGTGGTGATAAAGGGGCATAGAAAGCGTGTGTAGGGTGACGGGGCACAAGGTAAGGGCACGGCCTCGCGATACTCCACCTGCTCCAGCAGGAACTTGCGGTGCTGCTGCTGCGAGGGCAGGTCGGGGTCGTCTGGGCGTAGGGCATAGAGAGCATCTGGCGCGACGGCAGGTCGGGATGGGCATTAATGACGGGGCATAGGAGGCAAGTGTTTGGAACGGAAATGAGGTGAGGGTGAGGGCCTCACGAAACTCCACTTGCTCCAGCAGAAACTTGCAGTGCTGCTGGCGCGAAGGGAGGTCTGGGCCATCTGGTGGACAGGGTATGGGGCACATGGTTGCATATGGATAGAACACCTAGAGCAGATACGGGGAATGGGCTCAGGGCATGGGGTATGTGGGTGGGGTATGGATGGGGCACATTGGTCATGGAGTGGGGTATGGTGGGGTACAGGGCAAGGGGCATGGGTCCTGGGGCATGGGGGATGAAGGATACGGTAGGTGGGACAGGGGTTATGGGGGAAGGGTACACAGGAAACACCGCAAGCAAGGGGCACGCAGGGTACTGTGACACTATGATTCGAGTCTCCATGAGGTCCAGAATGGCACCGACGTCGCTGACGTGGCACTGACGCTGACGAGGCACCGACTTCTATGCTGACGTGGCATGGCACGTGGCACACTCACATTCAAGAGCCCCAACAAGGTCCAGAATGGCGTTGTCAGCAAAGAGCAGGTCGAACAGATTGGTGTCGTTGAGCAGTACTGCAGGAGAGAGGCAAGGGGGGAGAGAGAGGGAAAGCGGGAGAGGGCGGGAGAAGAGGGGGTGCCAGAATTGGGGATGGACAGACACATTGCAGACAAAATGACACACACACACACACACACACACACACACACACACACACACACACACACACACACACACACACACACACACACACACAAAAGAGAAGGTTCAGATTAGACACCATAAGCCCAAACCCTAGCACTGCACCCTGAACTCCAACCAATCAAGGCAAAAAGGAGTTTCAGCAAGTAAAACCCAAAACCGCTAACACCCCATCCAGCCCCTTGGCTGGCAACTTGGTACAACTGGTGCAGGCTGCAGCCTGTTGTACCAGATCCAAGGCTGCTTCAACCCTAAACCCGGCAATGTGTCCAGATCCTTCTCGTTCTGAATTGAATTTGGATGGTGCTGCACCTTGCTTCCACACCCCACACCCCACCACCCTCCACCCTCCACCCATACCACACACCCTCTATCCGAAACTCTAGACCCTGCGTCCCTTACCCAGACCCTTGGCAATGCGGTACAGGTTTGACTGGTGCTGCACCTTGCTCTCCCATCCCACACCCTAACACCCTCCACCCCACACCATACTCTCTAGATATACCCTACACCCTAAGCCCCCTCCCCCTTACCCAGCCCCTTGGCAATGCGGTACAGGTGGTGCAGTCCGTCGAGATTCTCCAGATCCTCGCACTGACGGAACAGGTCCAACAGCTTGGGCACGTAGCCCTGGGGTGGGGAATGGATAGGGAGACGAGGGTATGAGGAAGAGTGGGAAAGAGGGAGTGCTTGAAGATTCATCACAAGGCAGTGGGTCCTCCTTGCACTGGCGGAACAGGTCCAGTAGCTTGGGTACGTAGCCCTGAGGGGGCAGATAGGGGATGTGGGGATGTGAGGCAGGCAGGGAGAGAGACAGCGCTTGAAGTATCACAAAGGGCAAATCCTCGCACTGGCGGAACAGGTCCAGCAGCATGAGCGGGGGTGATGGATGGGATGGGGATGGGATGGGGGAATGGGTGAAGGGATGGGAGGAAGGAAGTGGGCACCTCAAAACAAGCACGCCAAACACACAGGGAGCGTGGAATGCGAGCGCTGAAGGCCATAGCCCCCCCATCCCCATCCCCCCATAGCCTGCTGCTGCGCACACATCCTTCCAACCACCACCCATCCCCATCCCCCCATCCCCCCCCCGGTTCTTCCCATTGTGCCTCCCATGCCCCCCCTGCCCATTCCTTGTCCCCCTCCCAGCCCTATACCTCTCTAAGGACGAGTGAGGCAATTCGGTCTTTGTGGAACAACGGCACGTCTGTTAGCATCTGCAGGGGGGGGAAGGTGGGGGGGGGGGGCGCGGGCGGGGGAGCATGGGGGCAGGGGCGAGGAGCAGAGGGAAGAGGCGAGGGGGGAGACGAGTGAGGCAATTCGGTCTTTGTGGAACAACGGCACGTCTGTTAGCATCTGCGAGTGCAGGGTGGGGGAAGAAGAGGCGGGGGGGGGGGGGGGGTGGTGTGGAAGAGAGAGGGTAGGGTGGCGGCAGGGATGAAAAGGGCGGGAAGGAAGGTGATAGGGGGGAGGGTGGAGGTTGACGGGGTGAGAGCTGAAAGGCTGGTAAGAGGGGCAGTCAGTCAGTGAGGGACAATTCCTTATTAGGAACATGGTTGGGTGGGCAGGGAAGGAGAGTATGGGGAGAGGAGAGGAGAGGAGGGGGAGAAGGGTGGGTGAGTGTGAAGAAAAGACATTACTTTCCTGTCGAAGATTATTAAAAAGAGGAAGATTCCTCTTGTCTCACCTTGGCAATGACAGGAAGGTTCCTCAACTCCACTGCAGGCAATTCAGACATGTCTGTTGCTGCTTCAAGGGCTGGTAACACACGCAGGGAGAGGAAGCAGGGAGAGGAAGGAGAAGACGAAGTTGACCAACCGAGCCATCAGCAAGGAGCAATTTCTCAAGAAACCCACCATTCGAGTAACCCACCAAACCCACTATTCAAATAACCTCCTTTCAAGTAACCCTCCAAACCCACCATTCAAGTAACCCACCATTCAAGCAACCCACCATTCAATAACCCACCATTCAAGTAACCCACCATTTTCGGGGGATGCCTCATGAATTGCAATCTCGTCACGTGCTCCAGCCCCTCCTCCCTCTGCATTCCCACCAGAGCACAGCACCGCAGCGCAGGGGACAGCACAGCACAGCACAGCAGCGCCGGGGCAGCACAGTACAACACCGCACAGCACAGCACAGCACCGCACAGCACAGCACAGCACAGCACAGCACAAACACGGGGTACAGCGCAAACCCATGCAGCACAGCAGGAAACACAATTACCTCTTTGCATCCCACTGAACCGATAACACATTAAGTCATGAGTGCAATCCATAATGACAAAGGACGAACACAACCAATGGCGCTACAATACTTATCACTTGAATGTTAATGTAAAACCAAAGGCGTGGGAGGAGTGTGACACACACATAGAGACACCCCCCCCCCCTTTCTCCCCTCACACACACACACACTCACTCACCAGTGCCTGGAGACACCTGCACTTGGCGCTGCACATTGCATATTTGCTCCCTGCGGGTGAGGAGCGGGAGAGGAGCGAACGGGAAATGAAAGGGTCAGGGACGATTGAGCACAAGAGGCTATAAGCGCAACAAAGCACACGGAGCACAGAGCACAGAGCATGGAGCATGGAGCACGGAGCATCACAGTGCAGCGAGGCACACGAGAGAGGCACGTACCATATGTAGGAGCATCCCATGCTTTCTTGAAAGCTCAGCGCCAGGTCTGTTGCTACCTCGGGGTCCGTCCACGAGATGATGGTGTCTGCAGGAGGGAAGGAAGAGTAGGGAGAGAAGGTGAGCGAGGGGAAAAGGGAAGGATGAGACGGTTAAGTAAGCAACATTGCATTGACACTCCCTCCCTTCACCCTCTTGCCGCTGGTAGATGTCATATGCTAATATGCGGTGCACCAGCAGTGAAGTGATGGTCATGGCACCACACACACACACACTCAAGTTAACCCTTCACACCTTTTGACTCAACTCAAAGGTCAACCCTCTCGCCTACTTGACGCTGATTAATGTCATCTGCTGATATGCGATGCACCAACCGTGACAAGTGATAATCCCACACACACAGAGACGCACATGCACACAACCACGACCCTTCTGTTACCTTCTTGCCGCTGGTAGATATCATCTGCTGAGATGCGGTGCACCAGCAGTGTGGCGTTGTCCTCCTCGTCGATCACCACCAGCCCTATCGCGTCCGACCTCTGCCGCATGGGGGGGGGGGGGTGACAGGAGGACAAGCAGAAAGACAAGTACTTGATTGCACTTTCACGCGTTTACACCAGCAGCAGCGTGGGGTTGTCCTCCTCGTCGATCACCACCAGCCCTATCGCGTCCGACCTCTGCCGCATGGGATGGCGGCATGAATACATGAGGGCAGAAAGACAAGTATTAGAATTTCACGTGTTTGAGACACAGGAGTGCGTGCTGTTGTCCTCCTCATCAATTCAATCATCACCAGCCCTATCGCGTCCGACCTCTGCCGCATGGGATGGCATTGGAAAAAAGAAATGGTACGAGCAGCTCTTGAGAGTGTGCTTCTGAAGCACTTAACATATGCGTTGTGTGCCGTCCTCCTCGTCTATCACCACCGGCCCTATGGTGTCCGACCTCTGCAGCACGGCATGGGATGGTGTGGCATGAGGGCAGAAAGACATGTATTCGACTTTCATGTGTCTAAACCACAAGGGTGGGCGTTGTCCTCCTCGTCAATCTCCACCAGCCCTACGACGTCCGACCTCTGCAGCGAGGTCGTTTTTGAGGCGCCTCAAAAACGACCTCAATGGGCGTTGTCCTCCTCGTCAATCTCCACCAGCCCTATCGCGTCGAACCTCTGCAGCATCCCATGGGAGATACATCACGAAGGGGAAAAAACGCACATACACACACACGGGTATCTTACTAAGAAGCGCCTAGTGAACAGTGCTCTGCTGTGTACTGCCCTCCCTGTCAATCACCATCAGGCATCTGCAGCAGGGGACGGGTGGCATGGGATGGCAGCAGCACTAACCAAGGCCTGTCTGTTACCTTGTTGGATAAATAACTCTCTTCATACAACCAAACGTGATTCAAGCCAACGTTATTAGCTGCAACACCTGTCTTTCCTGGCTGTCCCCGTTGAACATTCAGGGAAAAGAAACAAACCCCTACCTCGAGATATTCCACTGACACGTGGCCTGTTCCCTTGTCATCCCACTTCCCATCGTCGTTCAACCGATACACCTTCACTCGCTGTTGGGGGGGGGAGGGGGGGGTTGACACATCCGCAAACGAGAGAAAGGTTACGACTGAGTGAGTAATTCGATTACACGACGGAAAGAGGAGCAGCGCCGCGCCATATTCTCGTTTAGGAGCCTTCAAAAGGTTGCCTGGGAGCTTGCGAGGGGGTGAAGTATCGGACAAGTGGCAGGTAGTAGCTCCACGTGGCAGGGGACAAGTAGTGGACAGTGCCTTCATTGCGAAGAGAGAAATTAGACGGCTACAAATCTGCCGGCGCAGGGGGAAAGCAGAAAGTGGTCGAAACGAATAACATGGTATCGAAACTTGTTTACCGTTTATTGAGAAAAATCTTGACAAAAAGTCGAAAAGAAAGCATTTGGTATTGAGACGTCCCGAACTGGGAAGACAGTTGACAAGGAAGCATCTGGCTAAGCGATCTTAGAGACACGGAAAATCGCTTGTAACAAGAACATTGAAGGAAAATACGGATCGGGAACGCGAAACGCGGGCAAAGTAAGTGAAGGGAATGGCGATTGGTAACGGCTATTGAGAGGTTTTAAAGGGCTTCTGAAAGGGCTTTTAAGTCGAATCAAAAGACAGCTCGACTACGAAACGGATCTGCACGCGCATCCACGTGCACCACGTGCGTCCACGTGCATCCACGTGCGTGCACGTGCCTGGAGGTGGTTGTACTCCATCTTTCCCGCCTGCTGGCCTTGTTGCTGCTGACCCCCCGCTGCTGATGCCGCTGGTTGCTGCTGTTGCTGTTGCTGCTGCTGCTGCTGCTGTTGTTGTGGTGGTGGCGGTGGTGACGCCGGTGGCTGTGGTTGTGATGACGGTTGCTCATGCTTGGTCGTTGCTTTACTAGCGTGCTGCTCTTGCGGCTCCGAATCGTCTTCAGGCATCCTTAGGAAAAGGTCTTAACCTTCTAAAAGAGTTAACCTTGATTAAGATGCTCAATTGACGAACCCTCGTTACTGGATGAAATCGGAGCGGCTCTTCGAAAGATACAATCCGTTAAGACTCGTCATATGGGCGAAATCGTCAGAAATTCTTAAGCCGCTAACGCCATGGATGCGACAGCCAGCTGCACACAGCGCAATGCACAACAGAAACCGTCACCTTCAGAGTCGAGACTCGCGGCAAAAACCAGATCCCTTTCTCCCTCACTACACGGACATCGGACGCGTCTAGCCCCACGCGAACAGTCAACTCAATACCGCTAGCATCTAAACCTAATTGGTGCATGCACCGAGTAATTCACTAGCCCAAGGGTCAAAGGGAGCACGATCAAGCTGTCAGAGGCAGGACTGGATAAGCACACACGCTGAATAGTGAACTAACAAGAGCACGCGGTAGGTCAGCGCTCCTCCAAGGCGATTGACTGGATTCACTATTCTGTCACCAATAAAGTGGTCAGAAAAGGTGAACAGTTGATTGAATTTCGGGTGATGTGACTGCGAAAAGTAACCCGACGGCTGCTCCAATCCCGTTGTAGATAGTACCGGTGACGATACCAGAGTGGTAACTCAGCCCAAGGGGGAGGGGGAGTAGCTGGAGCGTGGTCGTCGTGGCCTGCGAAGTACTTCGAAACGTGATCTCGCGAAGATATGGCGGGAAAGTGAACGGCTCAAATCAACCCGACACCTCGTCCAACAAGGACAAACTCGCCGTTTTACAAGAATATACAATCTAATACTACATGAAACTTCAGTAACAACACAAACAATGCAAATCTGCAAAACTGAGGGAAACAAGAGTGTGCTGACTCAAATTTGTAAGCTCTTCATGCAACCTAGCACATTCTGCATTCCCGTTGCAACCTATCATGCGCTTATGGAGCTTGCAGGACCTCTTCTTATATAAGCCCCTTTCAATATTTCTTAGACCCACTCCCGCCAAAAATGGATTTTCGAATGAGATGTCCGATGGAACCGCCACTGCTGCCACTGCTACTTTCTCCTGTTCCAATAGCGGAGCCTATTACAAGTGAGGATGGCGGGACGCCTTTCAAGCAGCCGTCCAAAGTTGAGAGTATCTGAATCATAACAGGGGTGACAATGAGGCAGAGAGTAAACGAAGAGTTGAGGGTCAAATATGTACAAAAACAAGGTACGCCATTCTTGGCACTGTGCAAACACAAGCGGAATGCGTGAGAGTGCCCTACAAAAACATCATCACAACGAAAAGAAGTAGTTACCTCAGTGAATTCTGGCCTGACAGCAGGGTCGGCAGCCCAGCAGCGTGTGATGAGACTGCTGATGCGAGATGGCAGGCCGGGAGGGAGAGGCGGGCGTAGGTTCCTGCACATGGACAGAAACAAAAAAGAGGACAAAATGATAGTGAAAAGGGGAAAACACACACATTTTACGCATGAAAGAAAGGTTGCATGCCCGCAAGCAGTTGTGCACCAGGGTGTTCTGGAGAAGAGATTATCCAGCAAAGCACCTTAACGTCGACGACTGCGAACAGCTGGCGAGAATATTTTGAGATGCTTGCTGAGAGCAATACCTTTGCAGGACTCCAATGGCTGCTTGAAGGGGCGTGAGGCCAGTGTAGGGCAGGTCGCCTGTGATGACCTCCCTGGTGAGACAGCACACGATGGGAGATGTTGTGCGGAGAGGGGAGATGATGGGAGAAGATGGGAGACGGTGAGAATTAACAGGTGACACTGGGAAATGATGGGACTAGATGGACAAGAATGGAAGCGGAGGGCAAAGTGAAGAATGCATGCACAGGGAGGTGGGGTGGGGATGTGGGGAAGTTGGTCGCAGCGAGTATGCATGACAGCTTGGCAATCGGGAAGTGAAAAGCACGTGCATGGAAAACTGCACAGGAAAGAGACCCACCACATGGTGACACCGAATGAGAAGATGTCAGCGCGATGGTCGTATGGCTGGTGCTCCATGACCTGCCAAGGCAAGCAAGGTCAGCGAAGAGAAGGTGAATCTGAAATGTGTCAAAGCTTGACTAGCGTATGGCGGGTGCTACAACATCTGAGCGAGCAGGAGAACCACTGCAAGTGGAGAAGCTACAGAATTGACTCAGAAGGGGAACTGGCAAAGGATTGGGAGAAAGAGAATGGCTAAGGAATGGGTGCACCCGGAGGTTGCGGCACCGGAAGTGGGGTGTACCATCACCTGCTACCTCAGCTGCCATCAGGTGTTACCTCAGGTGCCATCAGGTGCTACCTCAGGCGCCATCAGGTGCTACCTCAGGCGCCATCAGGTGCTACCTCAGGCGCCATCAGGTGCTACCTCAGGCGCCATCAGGTGCTACCTCAGGCGCCATCAGGTGCTACCTCAGGTGCCATCAGGTGCTACCTCAGGCGCCATCAGGTGCTACCTCAGGCGCCATCAGGTGCTACCTCGGGTGCCATCTGGCCGTGACTTGGCTGTGGGTTCTCTACACAGCTGCCCTGCCTGCTTTGATGGCAGCAATCTCGCCATCAGGTGTTACCTCGGGCGCAGTTAGGTGTTACCTACCTCAGGTGCCATCCAGCGGTAGGTGCCTGTCTCTGCTGTCATGTCTGACTGTGATTTGGCTGTGGGCTCTCCACACAGCTGCCCTGCCTGCTTCGATGGCAGCACGTGTTACCCCAGGTGCCACCACGTGTTACCCCAGGTGCCACCAGGTGTTACCCCAAGTGCCACCAGGTGTTACCTCAGGTGCCGTCAGGTGTTACCTACCTCAGGTGCCATCCAGCGGTAGGTGCCTGTCTCTGCTGTCATGTCGGGCCGTGACTTGGCAGTGGGCTCCCCACACAGCTGTCCTGCCTGCTTCGATGGCAGCAGCCTCGCAACTCCAAAGTCACACAGCTTCACCACCTGAGGTTCGTTGGGAGGATGAGGAGGAAGGTGTCAGCGTGGGTCCTGAACTGAAAGTCCAATTGAATAGTCGATGGTTCAGTTCAGTGGCAGTGGGCTCCCCACACAGCTGCCCTGCCTGCTTCGATGGCAGCAGTCTCGTCACTCCAAAGTCACACAGCTTCACCACCTGAGGTTCGGGCGAGGGGAGAGGGGTAGGAAAGAGGGAGCGGGAAGAGGAGATAGAGTGAGGGTGTGGGAGGAGAGAGGGCAGCATTGGGAGTAAGTGGGGACATGACTATGCTGCTACTGGCTCGCCCCACATAGCTGCCCTGCCTGCTTCCATGGCAGCAGCCTCGCCACTTCAGGAATAGTGAATACAGGAAAGCAAAGAAGGGCAGGGTCGGGAAAGAAAGAGAGCGGGCTACGAAGAGAAATCTGGTCCTGGTGCATGATGGCCTTACAGTGAAGAAAGTCCAGCCCTCATGCTGCTTCCCTCTCAGCCACATCCCACCACTCTCAACCACATCATGTCACTCTCAACCGCGTCGCACCACTCTCACACCACTCACATTGTTCTCACCCACCAGCAGGTTAGCAGCCTTCAAATCCCGGTGCACAATGCCCCTATGGTGCAGAAAATCCAGGCCTCGGGCTGCATCCCTCTCAAACGCAACACTACCATCCACTCACACCACTCTCAACCGCATCACATTCCTCTGAATCAATGTCAACCACTCTCAACCACTCACATCGTTCTCATCCACCAGCAGGTTAGCAGCCTTGAGGTCCCGGTGCACAATGCCTCTCCGGTGCAGAAAGTCGAGCCCGCGTGCTGCATCCCTCAGGATCTTGAGCGCCACTGGCAGAGGCAGCCCGCACCCCCTCTGGTCCAACACGTCCCGCACACTGCATATGATAGGGAGGATGAGCAAAGCAAGGCGCAGGAGGACGAAGAAAAAACAAGGGAAATGAATGTCCTTGCAAAGAAGCCAGTCCAGCCCCTTTTTGAGAATTCTTAAAAAACGGCTTGCAGTGGGAGAAAGCTGTATGACGGTGACAAAGGACCGAGGCAATGCCATACCGCCATATCTGCCCCATGCCATGAGGTCTGTGACAACGAATAGCAGCACGGGGCGGAGAAGAAAAGTGGACTCAACACTAAACCATACCTGCCCCGTGCCATGAGCTCTGTGACGATGAATAGCCGCGGCCAGTGGGAGCATGCCCCGATGAACTGTACCAGGTTCTTGTGCCGTACCATCCTGGCAGATAGCACGGGACACGCAACAGGCAACAGACATGAGGGGACAAAGAGAGATGAAGTTGAATCCAAGGCAAGTGTGCGAGTCTAGAGGCAACCACAACCCAATGAACTGTACCAGGTTCTTGTGCCGTACCATCCTGGCTGGCAGAGCAGACAGCACAGGATAGAGAAGGCACATGGACACAGAGGACAGAGTGACGTTATTGAAGATCGACGCAACAAGGGAGGAGAATGATGGTGTGTAATTCATGATCATTATTAAATGAGAGAAATGCCCCACATGCCCCACACCGACATGCCCGCATGCCCCACTCCTTTGCTCCATTCCCACGGGCCCTATTTCACAAGTGAATCCAACGTACCTCATTATGGCAACCTCTTGCTTAAAGCACTGTAACAATTCCAGCGCCGTAGCACTCCGCATAGACACTGACATGCCCGCATCCCCCACCCCGGCCGGCCCTCCCCTCAGCCCGCCCCCAGCGCCGCCCATATCATCAGCAGCAGCGAGCGTGATGACCTTCACTGCCACGTCCTGCCCTCTGTACGTGCCTCTGCACAGCCGCCCTGACGCCCCTCCGCCCAGCCTCTCGCCTATGCCCAGCTGTGAGAGGTACGGGGGGATGGGAGTGAAGGTAAGATGGGAACGGTGGGTAGAGAGGGGAGATGGGAAGGCAAGGGGGAAATGGGAGAGTGTATGAGACGGAGGCTAAAAGGGAGAGAGATAGAGGGAGAAAGGCGGCCATATAATCTGGAGCAGCGAGTATGATGACCTTGACTGCCATGACCTTGTCTCACATCATGGTAGTCCACCGCCCAGTCCTCATAAGCCATGGACTCAAACACTGCCCCCGTAGCTACAGGCGCACAGGAGGGCACAGAGCCGGTACATGCAGGAAAGGAAGAACCAATGCCTGACTCTCTACTCACATCATGGTAGTCCACCGCCCAGTCCTCATACGCCATGGCCTCCACCACGGCTCTCAGATTCGCCAGCTGCATCTGCTCTGAGGCCTGCTTCACGTCCCGCTCTCTCCACTTGATGCGCACCACGTGTGTCAACGCGTCCTGTAGCTCCGCCTCCTGATGTACACAAGACGGGTAAGGGAGCGGAGGAGCGCAGGGAGGGGGAGGGGAGGAGCGCAGGGAGGACATAAAAAATGCACGTCTTGCTCTCTCCACTTGATGTGCACCACGTGTGTCAACGCGTCCTGTAGCTCCGCCTCCTGGCAACGCAAGACAGGGCAGGGCAGGAAGAGAAGGGCAGAGGGGGGAGGGCAGGGAGGATAGAAAGTGTGCGATGGCTGTGGCCGGTAAGGAACGAACGGGACGTTCTCTCCACTTGATGCGCACCACGTGTGTCAACGCGTCCTGTAGCTCCGCCTCCTGATGTACACAAGAGATAGCAGGGCAGGGAGAGGAGGGCAGAGAGCAGCAAGTGTGAGATGGCTGTAGTCGGTAAGGAAAGAACGGGACGTTCTCTCCACTTGATGCGCACCACACCACGTGTGCCATTGCATCCTGTAGCTCCGCCTCCTGGCATACACAAACAGGTAAGGGAAGGGAGGGAGCGGAAGGCCAGGGGGAGATTACGTACAGAAGGACGGTGAGTCAGTGAGGTGTGTCAGGGCGTCCAACTTCTCCGCCTTCAGACCAACACAAGACAAGACGAAGTTTTGAGATGCATGTCAGGAATGATGCACCCAGGAAAAATGCACGTAGATCAACGAATTTCTGGTGAGCTGATTTCGACTAGGTTGGAAAGCACATTCATACATAAAAGTTCTGGTGGTGCTTGGACATGGTGACCACGGGATCTAGTTATTGAATACCTTAACATACAAGGGTCAAAACATGAGAGCTCACTAGGAAAAGCAAGCCCATACATTGGCGTAGAAGTTCTGGTGGTGCTTGGGCGTGGTGACCACAAAGTCCTGTAACGCCATGCCATCTGACGTGCTGAACACATGCGCCTCCTGTGTTGGGGATGAGCAAACAATGTGCAAAGATGTGCGATGATGTGTGGAACGAGAGAAGAGTGAACTGGAACAGGCATGCAGGGAGGAGGAGGATGCAAAATCAGCACCCCAGGTTGAATTTCACGCACGCAAAAACCAACCTCAAAACAACAGCTTCAACTCACATTGATGTTAACAACAGCTTCAACAGCTTCATGTCCGAGTTTGCCAGTGCCGAAGTAAACCACTTCAGCAGCCCCGGTCTATCTATGAGGCACACCACAAGAACCAAACCCAGACCAACACCTCCCCCACTCACATTGATGTTCAGCTCCATGTCCGAATTCGCCAGTGCCGAAGTGAACCACGTCAGCAGCCCTGGTCTATCCGGGGCCGCAATCGACACCTCCCACCCGTACACATACCCGTCGCCCTCCGCCCCTTCCACGCCTCCCGGCCCGTGCCAGCTCGACCCCCCACTCCGGCTCTCATCCTCATCCACATCTGTCCCTAGACTCGACGCGGACCCTCTCGACCCAACCAGGAACCCTCCGCCGCTCCCCATCCCTCCCGCACTCCCCATCCCTCCCGCGCTGCCCAGCCCTCCTCCCAAACCGTCGCCCCTCAGATCCGACGCTGACGAAAACGGCACGCCTTCCCTTAACGTCGCCGCTAACGAGAAATGACTGCTGCTTCCCTTGTTGTTCCCGATGCTGCCAGACCCAAACGGCGACCGGCCAGTAAGCGATCCGGATTTGCGGCCGGTAGAGGTGGGAGCAGCTTGGTTCAAATCCACTGCAGAGGAACCTGCCGAGCCTAGACCGCTCAGGCTGTAGCAGTTAGGCGCGGAGGAGCCGAATGTGGGTTGCGGGATGAGTCGCGACAGGGTTCCGGGACAGGGGATGGACCTGCGAGCCGGATGGGACCCATGAAGCTGCGGTTGTGACCCAGACCCCGACAGACCTGATGCCCCCGATGCTCCTAGAGTCGCTCCTGACGCTCCTGCTGCCGCTAAACCAGATGCTCCTCCTGCTGTTGGTAACCCTGATGCTCCAGAATCGGAAGAGCCTGCAGAAGCAGCACTCCCGCCAGCCGCTGCTACCGCAGCGGAAACCGCTGCCTTTTGGGAACCTTCCAGGCTTCTGCCGGACGGGCTATTGCTTGCATAATCCGAGCTGTGCCGCCTCCTGGGGGAACTCAGAAATTCCCCTGCGTTCCCCCCGCCTGCCGAACCTGACGACTTGGCTCGGCCGAGGCAAACCCGTCGGACCCGGACGACCGGGCCTTGGTCTGGGTCGGTTTGGTTGAGCGTGCGAGCCTCATTGATGAGATGCATGTGGAGCAACACGTCCTCATGCCGCTGTGGGTTGACGCTGAGAGCGTACCTGCGGTGAGGCGTAAAGACGGGAACGGACAACTCAATGAAGGAAAAGAGAGTGGAGTGATGTGTTACGAGAAAGTGTGTAACGTCGTGCACTGGGCGCCTCGAGAAGAGATGAGACGCATGTGGAGCAACACGCCCTCATGACGCTGTGGGTTGACACTCAAAGCGTACCTGCGGTGAGGCGTTGGGTGAAAAACGGACAAGTTAGAGGACATAAACAGATTCAGATATGAAAACAGTATGGCGTTTACTACCGACAAATACAATTCATGTTTCGGGACAGTTAACGAGCCCAGCATGTTCCTCGGATAAGCGTGCTCGTAGGAAGTAATTCGCGCGACTGCGAGGAGATTGCAGACAGCGGCTAAGTACGATGGAGGAAAGTGCAATTGCAGCGTGAATATGCGACAGATGATAGGACGGCGTCCGGTGCGACGACACGAGACGAGCGAAAGAAACTTTTCAAATGTGACGGTATACGAAATCTGCTGTCCAGAAACTGCAGAATCCAGTCAGCAAAATGACGGAGTTCTGAACGGTAACCCCAGCTTCAGGAAAACACAACTGGAGATTTTGTCTCCAGCAGCGAGACCTGAGAAAACAAGACTTCACAACTAAATAGGTTGGTCGAACACTGAGGTCCGACTCCTAAACCTCAGCCTGTTTGTTGTGCTACATAAGTCAGGTGTCATAGGAACACTAGGAACGCTAGATACGCTAGGAAAGTTAGGAACACTAGGTGCGTTACCTTGACGGCAGCGTTGCGAAGTGCTTAGACACCGAGTCCTGAACCTCTCTGCCATGTCCGTCCCTCTGAACATTCTCCAAAACGATCCGCAGAACCGCCTGACAGAGCGACTGCTTCACGGACAGGCCGCCTCCGGTTGCCGGAGCCGAACCGACAGGTTGAACCGGCGACGGGAGGTCTTGCTTGAATTCGAGCGACTGACCGAGAGCGTCAGGAGTGGACAGCGCGTACGACAGGCGACTGAGGTCTAGCGCGGACGAGGATGGGGAGAGTGGAGGCTTAGAGCTAGACGAGGCAGCCATGACACCCATTCACATGGACATGAGGAGGCGAGACGCCTGTCTGCGATGTGTTGGTCAGTTCGTAGAAGTAGTCAGTCTTTACAAATTGCTAGCCGCCTGCCTGCACGAGAGAAGACTTAATTGAGCAGTATTCCTTATCTCGGCTTCAACACACTAAAGACTCCGTTATCTCCGTGACACCAAACGTCAGTATCGCAAGGACAACACTCCTAAATCTAGACGACTACCCCGCCGTCACCACAAAACGGATTCCGTAAAGCTGCTGAGAAAAAACGAACAGATTACTTCAGCGAACAAGAATAAAAAAAGATCCACAAAAAGGTCAAATCCTGCTGTGACTTGCAAATGAAATGTCTCAGACGGTCCTTGCTGTAACTTGCAGCAATCAGCTATTGGGGGATTGGGGAGGTTTGCTTCTGAAAAACGTGCTGCGACCAGAACCAAGAGAAGGTCGGGGACGAGGTGAGCTGGTTTGAGCTTTGCTGCTGGTTGGTTGCGCGCCAGAAGTTCGCCTGACAGCCGCCATGAAACTAGTCATGGGACGGTTGGGATCACCAGAGATGGCTTTCTGGACGGTTCAGATGACATCGCGAGGGTTCGAAAGCGGGAATCCGAAAACGGATTATGTTGAGATTCGCAGGACCAACATCGAGGTACCTCTGCGCTGGATGCCCCACTTGTCACGGGGAATTCCGAGAATCATCATTCGCCGTCGGATTACAGCAAACGACCTTCCGAGATCTGGGGAGTCAGCGCTATCGCTTATTGACGGAGTTTTTCCCCTTCCGCTTCTCAAAGGGAAAACCAGCCCACTTGACGGAGCAGACTAAACAAGCATAAAATGATGCTGCCACAACGTGCAGCGATTCTGTCACGACAGCACTGATCCGCTGAACTTCACACGCGACGCGATTCATGGCCGACTGTGGTACTGCATCAGTGTTTTACAGGGTAGTCTATTATTGTTACGAGTGCAATTGAGTGAACGAACGAGAATTGCACTATCTAAGCAAGAGTACAATGAGCGAAGGCATGAGCGAAGGCTATATAGAGAAACTACAGTGGTAACGGTAATGGACTGTGGTTGTCGCGTGGCGGGCCTGGGACTGAGGTTGGGAAAAGTGTCGAGGCGAAGGCCCGGAGCGCGGGTTACCCGCCGAGCCGTGAGGTCGAGGTGCGACGTGCGAAGGTGGCAGGAGGATTCTCGATGTGAGGGTTGCGAGTGGTAACGGTGCTGACTGTGGTGCTACAGTGGTGTAAGCGCTGAGCCGGGACGCGAAGTAAGGAAAAGGAATTTTCCTTACACTACCCCCCCCCTAAGGAGGTCCTCCTTACGAAAGTGCGTGTACATCCCTGAAATTTCGGCTGCGCAGATACTCGGTGAGGACGGGGTGGTTTTCGATTCTGTCCAGGGGAACCCAATTGTCTTCGGTGGGTGTGGGGTCCTTCCAGCGGGGCAAGAACTCGATCCTTCGGGCTCCTCGAGGGTCGCGAACTCTGTGACTCAGGATTTTCTCAGGGGTGATGATTGGTTCAGCTGGTAGTCTTGTCATGCTAGCTGGGCGATGGCGTGGCAGTTGGCTTATGGACGGGACGTAAGGGCGAAACAGGCTGACGTGGAATGAGAGGCTGACGTACCAATTAGCAGGGAGGAGGAGGTGGGCAGTGACGGGTGTAATCATGTGGCTTATGCGAAATGGCCCGCAGTATCGGGGGCGGAGTTTCGGGGTGATGGGCAATCGGAGGTTCTGAGTGTCAACTAAAACTAAGTCGTCGGGCTGGTAAGTGACAGGCCGGCGATGGCGGTTGGCGTTGCGTTTAGCGATGATGTTCGATTTTTTTATTGCGTCTGCTGCCCGGGTCCGTCCTGCTTGTAATATTTCGGCGAACTGTTGTGCTCGTGGTACTGGGTTGTCGGGATTCGGGGTCATGGGTACTGTCGGGTCTCATCCGTAGTTTAGGTAAAATGTGATAAGAAACGGGGAATGAGTGCATTGAGCAGAATGAGGAGTACAAGTAGTAAACCCTAAAGTGTTGTACCCCATATGAACCGCCCCACTACAGCCTACACAGACTATAGCATATATGCTTAACACACCCCCATAGGCAAAGTGGGGGAGAACAAGGGGTCACAAGACCAGTCAAGCAAAGCAAGGCAAGCTCAGGGTGGATCACAACGTCACCACACAGTCCGAGCACAAGAGCAAGGCCACAAGGCCATTTCACATGCAAGATCATATATATAAAGGTAAACAAAGTGCAGGTATAGAAAGAGTACAGTACAAACAAGGTCAAGAAGTGAGCAAGTGAGGCCAAGTAGGCACAAGACCTAGCATAGCACAGAAGCGCTGATGATCACAAGGCGGAAGGGCCTTGGTAAAGATATCAGCAGTGTCGGCCTCAGAGGCCACGTAGGTGAGGCGGAGCTGACCACGCTGCTACACCTCACGAGCCAGGAAGTAGCGAAGAGCAATGTGCTTCGTTCTGTGCTCCAGTCTGTGCTCCCAACACAAGGCCAGCATGGCCTTGTTGTCTACGTACAGCACTGGAGGAGAACGAGGCGGCTCTCTTAGGTCAGTCAGCAGATAGGTGAGCCAGCGTAGCTCCTGTGCAGCCATGGCCCCCGCGTAGATCTCAGCCTCACAGCTGGAGGTGGGAACAGAAGACGAGCGGGTAGACCGCCACGAAACAGAGCCGGAGCCAAGGCTGAAGGTGTAACCCTGTGACGACCGCTGTGTCGGCTGGTCGTCAGCCCAAGAAGCGTCAGCGTGACCTGTGAGGACCACTCGACGTCGCCCTCCAAGCACTAGCCCCATGCCCGACGTACTGCACACGTAGCGCAACACCCTCTTCGCTGCAGCCATGTGCTCTGGTCGGTGTCTCCCAGGAGCAACATAGCGTGCCAAGATGCTAAGAGGGTATGCAAGGTCAGGTTGTGTGCAGGTCATCAGGTATATGAGGCAGCCAACAAGCTCTGGGTACGGGCCACTCGGCTCTACGGACTCATCCGAAGGCAGAGCTGAGAGCGAGTGGCGAGTAGACAGAGGAGTGGCCTGAGGCGAGGAGTACGTGAAGCCGAAGCGCTGAAGGACCTGCTGCACCATGTGTGACTGAGTCAGGGTAATGGTGCGCCGTGCTCTGTCCCGGGTGATCTGCAAGCCAAGGTAGCTGCGCAGTTCACCCAGGTCTGTGCACGTGTGTCTCTTCTGCAGCTCCGACTTCACGTGGGCGAGTCCAGCAGTGTCAGCAGTGGCAAAGACCAAGTCGTCGACGTACACGAGGATGTAGAACGGCGGCAAAGAGGTGTCGGTGCGCAGAAACAGCGACGGGTCGGCTGTAGAAGGAGCAAACCCAAGAGCCGCACGTGTAGTCCTCAGTGTGTCGTGCCACTCACGGGGCGTCTGGCGGAGACCGTAGACTAGCCGCCGGAGGCTCCACTGGGTACCAGGAGGAAACGACCTAGTGAAGCCAGGTGGGCGGCGCAGCCAGATCTCCTCGTGCAGGCAGCCCTGCAGGAAAGCAGTACTGAAGTCAAGAGAGTGAAGCTCGTAGTCGCGCTGAGCGGCTATGTGCAGCAGCACCCGAAGAGTGGTCATCTTCGGGGTGGGAGAGAAGGTCTGAAAGTAGTCAACTCCCTGCCGCTCACTGAAGCCTCGAGCCACGTAACGCGCCTTGAAGACAGGCGGAGAACCCGGCGGCCGCTTCACCCTGAAAATCCACATGCCACTGACGATGTTCGCCCCAGGTGGGGGAACCTCGTCGATGTAGGTGCCTGTGGACTTCCAGGAAGCCATCTCTGCGTCCATGGCTGACTGCCACTGAGAGGAGTAGGGACCCTCGATCGCCTCAGCGTACGATCGAGGAGTCGGGATGTCTGGTGCATCCGGGTCTCCCTCAGGGGCAATCAGCGTGGACACAAGATGAGGCGAAGCAGCAGCAAAACACTGGAACTCCTCCTGCCTGTCCTCAAGGACGTCCGTGCTAAGAGCACACCCACCCCCGACGGACGGAGGACAGACAGACTCGGACTTAGCAACAAGACTAGTGGCGTAGTCTAGACAACAGCGAGCAACGAAGCCGACAAGCTCAGCCACTAAGGCAGACGCAGCAGTGGACTCAAAGGAAGGGTCAGTGACAATAGTGGCCAGGAGACGCGTGACAGTAGGACTGGCAGCACGAAGAGAGTCAGACTCAGGGTCAGGAAGGACAAGAAGAGAGGACTCTGGAGGAGACGACAACGGGACACGAAGGGGAGCAGTGGAAGGACGCAGTGCCATCTGGTGTGTGCCCGAATCGCGGGAGGACGCGGACGCGGAACTCGACGACTAGTGCGAGCAGCACAAACAGGCGACGCAGGACGAGACGCAGGCTCACGACGCTCAGCAAGACCTCCAGTAGGACCAGTGTAGGGAGAAGGAGCAGGTAGAGGGGAGGCGGGCTGTAACGGTGACTGCGACTGGACAGGCTGTGGACACTCTAAGGGAGGAGCAGGACCAGTAGAAGGCGGGAGACCAAGAACCTGCTCAAGGAGCGGAACGAAGTACGGCCGCGGCCGCGCAGCGCCTCCAGAACTAGCAGGGACAGCACCAGTACCCCCAGCGGCAGCACCAGCGCCAGCAGCACCTCCAGCTCCAACAGCGCCAACTCCAGCACCCTCAGACGCACCAGCGCCAGCAGAACCACCCGCGCCAACACCCCCAGCAGCTCCAGCTCCTGCAGCTCCAGCAGCACCAACTCGAGCAGGACCGGCAGCTCTAGTACCGCCAGCAGCTCCAGCAGGACCAACTCCAGCAGCCCCAGCAGCACCCCCAGGCCCAGCAGCTCCAGCACCGCCAGTACGAGCACCTCCGGGACCAGTAGCAACATTAGTACCTTCAGCTCCAGCAGCACGGCTCCAGCGCCGGGCAAACCGCTCGCGCAGCTCCTGTGGAGAGAGTGGCTCCCGCCTCGACGAAGCACCGCCGGTGGCCACACGAGCAGACCCAGCGCCCCCAGGCTCC